GGGCTCTGAGTGATACGTTTGTGCGAACCAATTAGTTCTTCCAAAAAGAATAAGAGAGATTACGTAATGCTCTTAAAATTGATGGGCATAGCAGGCTTACCGCCAGCTTGTGCTTGGGTTCTGTGCTATGAAGACTGGGTTCCACATAAAACAAACTGTACCAGCAAACCTCCTTGGGTGAGGCTGCTCTTGAATTTGTTGTGTACTGTTCCCTTCTGATGTCCAGTACTAAGGGAAGTAGGAAACCTCGAAGCATTCGGAAGACAGAAACCTACCAGTCCTATTTTAAAAGTAGTGATTCATTAAGGAATATGTGACTTTGAAGAATAAATTGACACATCACTTCCCAGACTTTAAAACAATTGTCTTAGGAGGATTAGCTTGACTAACTTGGGAAATCTTTAGTATATTCTATAGAAAAATTCAGTAGAAGAAATGTTTATTGACTTTTTTGCATTGCTAGTTGTTTCCCCAATCTAGTTTCTCCTTTTATCTACATACCCTGGTGTCCACCTAGAGAATACATGTCCTAGCTTTCCCTGCAGCTGGCTGGTTCATGTGACTAATGAACCCTTGGGATGTTAATGAAAGTGATGCACATAACTTTTGTGTTATCTCTAAATTAAGACAAGTTGCCTGGTGCTGCTCTATAGTTCTTTTACCTTTCCTCTGGAAACGAACATGAAAATGACCTGTTTACACAATGCAGATGGAGACAGAAACTCAGCCAAAGGAGAATAGGGAAATGTATTGGAAGGAAACTGGATCCCTGAATGGCCTATTGGAGCAGAACTGCCCCATCAGCTAGGACCAATCCACTTTGAGAAATAAAAATGTGATCTCACTTACAGGATTGCTGTGGAAAAATGGATAAAAAATCTTGAAGATTTTAGAAATGCTTCTAGTGAATGGTATTTTATACAAGGGTTGCTTTTATGTAAGTTGTTTTTTAAAATTACCTTCATCTCTAGGTTGTATTATATGTTGAAAACATCACAAATTATGTTATGTGGTTTGATTTTCACAAAATCTTGGTGAGGAAGTCATTATGGGAAAGACTGTCAGTTTCTCTAAGAACTCAAAGGGCAGAGTAAAATCAAACTAAATAAAGTGCACTATTTCCAAATTTGTCCTTAGGCAAGGTTGTAGGACAAAAACATCTTAAGAAAGAGCTTCTGGACAGTACATAATTCAGAGGAGCAGCATGGTGACAATGGTGCTAATGATAATAATAAGAATAGTGAGAATAAGAATAGCTACATTTGAGTGTTATCATGAGTCATGTTTTGTATTCTGTGCTTTACATTCATTATCTTTGCAAAGCATCTGTGAGATGCTATTTCTTCAATTTTGCAGATGAGATAAGTGAAGCACAGAGAGGTCAAGTATATTGCCAAATGGTAGCCAGAACTGGAATCTAATCACATTATCATTTTTACTTCAAGATGACATCATGGAGTCTTTCTGAACCTTAGTTACTTTTTTTTTTTACTTAGAAAAATCTGAGGAAAGAACTAAAGGGTTCTAATATCTATTGACCATACTCTAAATAAAAGGGATTATGCAAAACATATATCATCATCTCAAATACATGAGTATTGATATTTTGAATTTTTAAGAATAATATGATGTCCAGAGAAGCTAAACTACCTTTCCAAGGTAGGAAATGACAATTGAAAGGTTTAAACCCAGGAAAGAACTTGGATCATGCAATCCTTAGAAGCCAGAGGCAGCCAGGCTTATCTGCTTAGACCTGTCCACAATCTTCCCTTCAGAAAGCAATGCGTCTTGAGAGTTTGACAGAAAGTTCTGCTAGGGCATAGGAAATAGCATTTTAACTCTGTATTTATACTTGACTCTAAGTACATGAGTAATACTTTGCACTTAAGGAAGATCTGCTACCTGAGTCCTTCAAGAGCGGAACAAAACCAATTATTACCCACCGCCCTTCTGATTGGAAAGGAAGATCTCTTAATCCCTAATTTGCTGACAGGGAGGCAGAAGCTGCCAGGGAAGAAGTGATTTACTGAAGGTCACACAATCGGTCTATGAAAACCTTAAGAATACCTCTGAGGGCTCATGACAAAAGAGCAATTGCCTTACACAATTAGCAGCTTATTTCTCTAACCACCATATCCCACTCTTTCCCATGCATGTGCTAAACTCTCCCTCTCTCCCTCTCCATCATCAGTAGGATTTTGTGCTTATTATGTAAATTACCATGTCAAAAATGTAGAGCCCTATAATTTCATCCTCAGCTCACATCATCTATTTTTAAAGGTCTCAGTGTAAGGAGTTCTCAAACACTTTGAGTGGGGTAGAAAAGCCCCATCAAAGAACTCTCATTTCCTGCTGGTTCCTTTGGCCACAGCATAAAAACTTACAGAAATCAAGGATCCCTGGCCAAGCAGTTCAGTTGGTTAGAGCGTCATCCCAATACACCAAGAACACAGGTTTGACCCCTGGTCAGGGTACATACAAGAATCAACCAATGAATGCACAAATAAGTGGAACAACAAATTGATGTTTCTCTCTCTCTCCCCCTCCCTTCCTCTCTCTCTCTCTAAAATCAATCAATTAAAAAAAAATCAAGGGACAGTCTGGTGCCACTTTTGGTAAAATCTCCAAGGAGATGTCTGAATGCAGGAACAACACTGAGGTTGCGGATTAACTGTACTTGAGATGTGACATCAGACCAAATTCAACTGCTTCACTCCACAGGAGTTGCTTCTCCTCACTGACGCCACTGTGATGGACACTGTATGGTGATCTCAATAGATCACATCTTTTTTATCTCCTGGTCCTGAGTGCTGGATTAGCAAGGGTGATGGGCTGAGATGTTGTACCCTGGTTATGTTACATTATACAAGACTCTGCTCTAGTAGACTAGAGACACTCTCCCTTGCTAGCCACCATATCATGAGAGAACCTGTGAGTAGGCCATTGGCAAGGAATGGGGAGCCTCTAGGAGCTGAGTGTCCCCAGGTTGGCAATCAGCAAGAGTGAGGATCTTGGAAATACAACCATAAGGAAATGAGTTCTGCCAACAACCATGGACCCCAGGATCCAAAAAGTAATGAAGCCCAACCAAGATCTTCATTGTAGCTTCATGAGAGCCCAAACAGAGGATCTGACTAAGTCATTGCTGGACTCCTGACCCTCAACACTGTAAGATAAGTGTGTGTGTTTTCTAAGCCATGAATATGTGGTAATTTGTTATACACAACAGAAAAATAATACAAACATTTTTCTTTTTAGGTAAAAAGGATATTAATACTTAGCANTCCTGACCCTCAACACTGTAAGATAAGTGTGTGTGTTTTCTAAGCCATGAATATGTGGTAATTTGTTATACACAACAGAAAAATAATACAAACATTTTTCTTTTTAGGGAAAAAGGACATTAATGAAGGGAACCAAAGTTTTGCCACCCTGAAGTTATCTTTTTGGGATATTAATTTTAGGTCATTAATTAAAAAACAAGACTCAGAAAGAACCTTTGACCCTCTCCCTTCTTGCCTAAGAGATTCAGATAGAAAGGCCTACACCAGGAAGAAAATTTTGGGATATTGCCTTAGTCTAATTCTAATTAAGTATGGTAAATAGAAGGACTTCAGGCAGGGGCTTAGCTATGTACCCCGTGTCCCATTGTTTCTGAGTCTCTGAACAACTTCCTGCTCTTCCTCAACTAACTGTAAGTCACCCAGTTTCACTTCTGAAATCTAAGACCCTGTTCCTGCCTTTCTCTCCTTTGTCTAAAGTCTATATACCTAATGTTGCCTCACTCTCTTTGGACTGTTTCGGGCTTGTGTGAATTCCCCATGCACATGTATTAAAATTTGGTTTTTCTCCTGTTAATCTGTCTCTGTTAATCTGATTATTAGCCCAGCTAGAAGAATTTAGAAGGTGGGAGGAAAAGTATTCATTTAAAATTTTTTTTTGAGCCCCCACATTAACAAGGATTAAAGTGATGCCTTAAAGATATATTTGAATCTAGTGGACACTTCAACGTAATGTAATTCAAAGTAGTGAACAAAAGGAAGCAGGCACAGATTTGGGACAGCAAGGAGCCAGGTGACCAAAGCATATGGGTCTAACTACAGGGTGGGGTAAAAGTAGGTTTACAGTTGTCTGTCTGGGACAGAATACAATAATTAATAAATAATAATACAAGAATAAGCCCTGTGTTTTGTGTAGTGACAACTGTAAACCTACTTTTTCCACACCCTGTATTTGCACCTATCTCTCCTCCTGTACCTTAAAGGATGGGAAGGATATGCTACAAATTATTAATCAATGAGATGAAATGCCGGAGACGCACAGCCATATTAAAACTTAATGCCCAGTAGACCATTCACGATCGCCTGAAGTTGAACTAAAGTATTGCTTGATTTTGAAAGGGAGCTGCAAAGAGCGTTCATGAATCATGTATGTAAATAACTGTGTGACCTTCTGGGTCAGTGGTTCTCAAATGTGGCCTTCTATTAGCTACCTACTCAAATGAATTTTTTTTTTTAAATTAAGAAGTTTATTTTTTCTAAAAAAAGGATTCTTGAGCATCACACCAAACTTGACTGAATCAGAATCATTGGAGGTAAGAACTGTTACTCCCACTCCCTATACCCCTCACACACACACAAATATCTCACCCACCGACTTCATAAGGTTCCAGCATAGCCAGTCTCACCATTGGTATTTGACATTATAGGGCTTATCACAGTTAGATCCGCGCTTGTGTGTGTGTATGTGTGTGTGTGTGAGTGTGAGACAGACTTGAGTAAGCCTTTCTCCTCTGCTCACCTTGTCTAATGTGCACCTACAATGTGCGAGCATCGGTGTGCCCAATGAGTCAACGTCCAAATGGTTACAACATCTAGGAAAGATTGGCATGAAGCGTGCAGACAGCTGGGCTCCCCAGCTATAGATTTGCCTCTTTCCCTCTCACTTCTCAATGCTCCTCTGAGAACTAGGTGAAATTAAAATCGAAATGAAGTTCTTACGTTCTTAAATCCTCTGTAGAGGATCTGGAGCTCCTTCTTGGTGAATTTGCTCTGGGCCTCCAGCAGCTCAAGGGCCTCGGGCCGATGCCTGACGGTGGCCATTTCCAGCTCATCTTCCACGCTGTCTGTGGGAGAGAACCAAGCAGAGTCTTAGGAATAGCCCGGCTCCCCAGCGCTTGCACACAAGCAAACAGAAAGAAGTGTTTATTCACGTCAATTATTTTTCCAGAGGAGTGATTCTCACACTGCCAATCGCTATTCGCATGTCCCAGAGTTTACAGTATTAAGCCAAGCTAATTCTATATAATATTTTTTCTAGTTATTAAAAATAACATAATAACAGTTTCTAGTTATTAGACATTACAAGATTAACATTTCCAAGTACAGTTCGAAAAAGGAAAAAAATCATGGAAAACTTAAAACTTGGGATTTGTGTATATATACCAAGTACTAGTTATACAAATAGAATTGTAGTTTAATAACAATCAACATCACCCTTGTATAGTGCGCCTATGAGACAGGACTTTGCTAATACTCAAGAAGGCTTCTTCTGACCTAGAGTATCTCACCCGCGGCTGCAAATAAAGAAGTCAGGCCAAGTGAGCAAGATCAGCTGCCAGATTGACTGGCATAGACCCAGTCTTCACGGGCGGGTACACACTGGATGGACTGGGGCCTATGGGAACTTTGGGCCAGACCCTGTTTTGTAGCCAAGGAAATCCATAGCTATAGATAAATTATAAAACATTGCGCTTTATTTTGTGAATTATATTTTTACTATAATTCTCTAAGATATTCTATGCAAAATAATTTTTAGACCACATAAATTTGGGAAATGTAGATGTTTACATAGTCTGGGAGCAAAATACAGGACTATAAAGTTTTAAAAGAACTTGTAACAAAGAGTTCTGTTTAGCTTTGTTTAACCCAATTAACCCCAAAGGGTATTTGTCCATAGAACCCTTCCTCCCCATGAGAAACATCTGGTAACATCTGCATATTTGCTCTAGGATCATGTAGAACATGCACTGGGAGGTGCTGGGATATATTAGGATCTGGGTATTTGGGTCTCCAAGTACGACATCCTTAATTAGGTCCAGCTCTTTGTAGTGGGGCCCAAGGAATTCTTCCCGCCATAGTTCAGTCCAAACCTCAGCTAAAGAACTCGTGAGGGGCCGCAGTGTCCAGGCCCAGTACTGAGGCCATGGCTTCCCTCTATTATATTCCTTCCTCTTGGCTATGGATCCCCAGCTCAGAGGGCTGAAGCTCAGAACAGCTTCTGCTCCTCAACTCTGGACCCAGGGCTACCAGCACCCCCTTTTCCACACTTCATGTGTCATTGGAGATGTAGTCATTTTTGACTACAAAAGTCAGATCATTTTTGATACTTAGTAATGCTGCCTCTCTGGTGATTCCCGGGGGTGGGGGTGGGAGGGG